TTTAATTTCAGTTTAATCTACCTCGAATAATTTAAATGTTTGAAAGAAAATAATCACATAATTTCAAATTCTTAAAAATAATGCGAATAACGGCCGTGCACTTTTATAATGAGATCGGGTCTTCTGCTATCATCCCCAGCGTTAATCTCGGGAAAACGCATATTATATTTTCTTTAAGCTCTTCTGGCGTTTATTTTAAATTAATTACACTTAAAGACGATTGAAGAACAATTTCCATTAGAAAATAATATATGAGCACGGTTTTATGAAGCAGTACCCAGAAATAAATTGCATTCATCCAAGAAAAATTTCTCGGTGTAAAGCGTATTCCCATTCAAAAAATGATTTAACTTGCTTAACCATTGTTCCTTGATTTATTAAGACGATCAGACCTTTTATTGGAAAGAAACTGATAATTTGAATGCGAGAAATGCGATTAATAATTCATTTCCTTTCGCGCGGTAATAAATGTTGGAAGAGATAATGATAATTATTTTTCTTCCTCAAAGGATTTATTGATGCTATCAAAACCTGATTATTCCTTTGTGTCTGTAGTTAAAGAAGATTATATTATTATTTTTTATATATATGCATTCATTATTTATATAAGTTCACGGAATAATTATTATTTAAATTGGTAAAGAGAATTTGTGATGTGTATGCTTTATGAAAGCTGTGCGTAGTAATTTCAACACACGAGTAAGGTCAATTATTAAGACATATTAATGCAAGAATAGTTAAGGTATCTGACTACGTTCGGAACCATGATTTTAAAAACCGCATAACTGGATAGTTTTCATGATATTTAGTGTCACTTAGATTAGAATACATGTATAAAATTGTTTTAAGGACATTTTGACAAAAACAATTATTTAAATGCAATATTTCGGCAAAAAATTAACTTAGAATAATCTTTTTTTCAAAATGTTCTCTTTTTGTGAGAAATGCTTCTATTATAATAATATTTTGCCTGTATATAGCTCAGACTTCTGTACAGAGGATCAACTGTGATTTTTGAAAAATTCACATTATTTTCAGAGTTACAACCAATTCAAATAATTATCGGCGTTTTTCTTAAAATTTTTCCATCCATGTTGTCGTAATGCATGGATGAACCCACTTCTAAGTCATATATTTCAAAAATTCTATTTCAGCCTCTGTACAGAGATCTGAGCTATATACAGGCAAAATATTATTATAATAGAAGCATTTTTCACAAAGGAGAATATTTTGAATATGGGTCATTCTATGTTCATTTTTTGTCAAAATATTGTACTTAAATAATTTTTTATTCTATTGCTCTATTCTTAAAACAATTGTATATACATTTTCTAATCTAAGTGACACTAAATATCATAAATATTATCCATTTACAGGCTTTTGCAAAATCGCAGTTACGAACGTATTCGGATACCTTAATGTATAAACCCATTGTCTGAGTGGTAGTGTATCACGCTTCCACAGCACAGATCCAGGGTTTAAATCCCTGGCTGAGCAAGTTGGACTCAGGCTTTCATCCCTTCAGTGGGTCAATAAAAAAGTATCAAGCTTTCTTGGGAAATGGATACTGATGTTTTATGTCGGGCTGACCACTTGATCGAAATATCTGCACATGCACCCCAGAGCCTAAGGTTACGTAAACTGAGATAGGCACAGTAGGCCTGGGCTTACATGGGTTGTTGTGCCACTGTTGTTAAAGTTTATTTCTTTATTTTGGCAAGTTACTGGTATTAATATATCTTACTCTTAAATAAATATATAAATAACAGATTATTTAGTTTGTTAGGCTTTACTGAAAGTGATGACACGTGGCATTTATGTGTCCCTACATGCGCTTAGATTATAATTTTGTGGTGTGCATAGTTTTAATAAATGATTTGAATGAAAAAGTATCAAAGAATTCAAATTTGATTTGATAAATTTTACCCATTTTAATTAAAGTGGAACTATGTTTATAACGATGACCTGAACGATTTGAGCAACTTAGGCCACAAAAAATAAACAAACTAATTATTAAATATAGAAAGCTTCATTAATAGGGCATTGATAACTACAATATAGTTAATACGTATATTTCTTATTACACACAACAATAATTTCACTTATGCAGACCATTTTTTTGTTGTTGTACGTAAAATTATCGTAATGGTTTTGAATTAATATAACTTTAGAAAGTATCAATTTACTTTATTTTTTATTCTTACAGACAACGTAAGTACGAGCTTGAATAACATTAAGTTTTGTGATACTAGAATCATTTCAATCTTCCTAGTAAAACAACTCTCTGGTGTAATCTCATTTGAAGTAAATTAGACAAATTTAAAATCATTCCTCCATATACTTTATATAGTTCTTGACCTGCAAATTATACATCTAAATGTTTATAATGTCCTCGGTCTTCACAAACACCTCTGAGGTGTTCTCTGGGCAAGGACGACTCAGCCTTTCATCCCTCCATTGGGTCGATAAACGAGTACCAAGCTTGTTTGGATACTAAAGACTGAGGGTTTCGCTTCAGACTGAACACATGATCGGGATATCTGCTCATGCATCTCAACGCCCAATGGTCACGTATACTGATATGGGCATAGTAGGTCTTTGCCCTCATGGGCTGTTGCGCCACTGAGTTTAGTTTAGTGTTTATAATATTAGTTCATTTAAGTAATGAAAGTAAATTTATCAGGAAAAAAAAGCCTGTACTCTACTTCCTTTATCTCCTAAAGCATAGTGGTCTGGCTCATGAAATCAAATGCCATGTTATCTAATAGGGAGCTCAAATTTCTTCTCCTTTTTATGGTCCGTTACATACAAGGGGCTTAGCACTCAAAGTTTGTCAAGATTCAAGGTTCCCACTTTCGCGTGCTATGTAAGTTTGGAGAAAAGGTTGGAATTTCAAGTTCATCCTCTTCAATTGACGAAGATGAAAATAAAGAGTTCGGTCGCCAGATGTTAAGATAAAATAAGATATTATCATTTTGCAAGCCAGTGAGTAAGGCTTTTCAATATTAAAAACACTAAAACAACTATTTAGAAAATATTGATAATTATTTTTTCAAAGCTTTTTCCTTAAGGTATTCCCTTTCATATGAATGAAATATACTCAAAATCATTCACAATTTTCACATGAATGAAATTTTTACTCTTATTTTTATCTTGTTTTTAAATAATTGTAATAGTCTAAATCTTTATAAAAAAATAATCGATAATATTTTATATTTTTAAAATGAAAAAAAAAAAAATCTTTGAAGTATTATAAGCTGTGTCAGAATATATAAAGCCCCTATATAGTTCTACAAAAATATAATACTACTAGAGCTATATAAAACAAAGCAGGAAACACATAAAGTGAGTTTCGAGTAAATTGTCTCATCGCATTTGTCTGGTGTGGTAATCTCACTTATGCATCTATGAGATGGTATTCAAAAGCAAGTCGTCTCTCTAGGGTAGTATGACAAAGAGAACATATTTTGACAAAACAAAACTCACCACGAATGTAGGCAAATACATTCAATTTCTTTTTAGAGCAATGCATAAATGTATTCGGAAAAACGAACCGTAAGAAATATGCTATTGCTTATATATGCATAAAGTAAATCCAGAGTCTTTGCGTAAGAATGGGACCATTTTTTTCTTCTTCCTGTCGGCCTATTTCCGATTTCCCTAGGATTTTGAATGGAGAAAATTCTTCTTCTATCAACTCTAGAGTGAATGATGAAAGTCAAAAAAAGTATTGTTTACAGTGCCGTTTGCATATACATGTTTGTTGCTTGGAGGCATAGAAATTGGTTCCCCAAGCAAGACGCATCACATTCGCATTGCGAAAGTGTGTTGGGTGAGATTGTATTGCCTAGGAACGTTTCGGAACAAAAATACCATTTCTGTTATTAAATATTATTTCAGTTTGGCATATTTTTATCGAAAACAGTAGAGGATTATCGCAAATATATATGCATGAGAAATTGAAATGTATAACATCCTTTTTTTTACCTCTTTAGAAATATTTTTCTATAAAATAATCTATTTTTGTTTGTTTAAGATGTCATTACTTCATGCATAAGGAAGACGAATACGGAATGTTTTTTTTGTTCACTTACTAATCCTTGCTTGCGATCTACATATTGTAAGAAAATACAAACCAATAAAACCCAAAAATAACGACAGCGAAATTAAGAAGGTCCCACAAACATATTAATTGTAAAAAATAAATAAATAAATAAAATAAATACGTTTCGTCCGCAATTTAATTCATTTTTTCTTGAATATGTGTAAAACAATATTTTTCATTTGATATGTAACTTCTAGTATATAGTAAATACATGCATGATTGTTTCTTACTAACCTTTTACCAAACAAATAAAAGGTTTTTACCTTTTAGAAACATTCTTACACACACACAGCCTTTACCTCTTTATTTTAAAAAAGCAGTACTTGAATTTCTAAAATAGATGTGTAATTATCTTTTAATCCCTCGGAACCCCTCTCTCATTGCTATTTTTCGAAAACCGATTTCAAAGGATTTTTAATATACAAAATATACTTGCTTTCCAAATTTGAAATTTGTTCGTCTAATAGATAAGAAATGGGAATTTTTATGTATAACGCTCCTACAAAACCCCACAAAACACGTTTTTAGTTGATATCTACCTAATTAAAAAAACATATTTATTGAATTTCATGTCTGTAGATCTAATAATTTTGGTGATATCTTGATGTACGTGTGAATCACACACTTTTCTTCTCTATTTAAAGAAAAAAAGTGTGTGTGTACTTATGTACGCACGTAAGAAGTTACATTTCTTTGGCGTGACAAGATTAAAATCTTTCTAGAAATCTTTAGCAGGGCAATCTGGGACGAGGACGAAAGGCGGTCACAAGTAGAGTTGAACGATGTTAACCTTCAGTCAATCGGACCAACCAAACCTGAGATAATTCCGATTTAAATAAATTTAAACCCCTCCGCACAGGGACAATAGGACCAATAATATCAAGGTCCTTCAAGATGGCCTTGGTATAGCTCAGTGGTAGAGCATTCGACTACATATCGAGAGGTCCCCGGTTCAAACCCGGATGCTCCATTCTTCAGGGAAGTGAAGAGAAATATGTTTTTGAGAATTTCGAAGGTGGGAATGATTTGTCCCGTTCTGTATATTTCTAGACAAAGGATTTTCGCATCCGTTCCTACGGAACGCAAAGCAAAGGCTCTCTGACACGGGGTGTATAGCTCAGTCATAGAGCGTTCGGTTGCAGATCGAGAGGTCTCCTGTTCAAACCCGGGTGTCCCCTTCTTCAGGGAAGTGAAGAGTATATATATTTGAGAATTTCGAAGGTGGGAATGATTTGTCCCTTTCTGTATATTTCTAGACAAAGGAATTTCGCATCCTAGCGGTGTGCGCGCTCATTGTAAAAATTTACCCTCATCCTTCCCCCTATTTCTCTAACGCCCCAAAAGAAGTATATAACTTCAAAAATACATATTCGTACAAATAATTTTTTCTATGTAATACATTTCCATGGTACCATTAAAGACCTTCGAAGGGGATATACAATATATACACACGACATATTAGATACACAACATACAAGATGAGGCTTAAAGGCCCTTATGGTAAGAGTATAAGATTTACAGGTGGAGGGGGCAAACTGAGAAATCGTTCTCGTCACTTGATAGCGTTACGAAATTATGGGGTCCTATAGCATTCCTGTTATTTTGTACTGTGATGTGAAAAAATGGTCATCGAAATCAATCAAGCCTTTCGAGATTTTTAAGCGTTATGTTTTCCCAATGCATGCACATGTGTTGCTAATGTATGTAATTCACATTAATCATTGACTTGTAAACTAATGCAGGGCAAACCATTGGATGCTGCAAAAACGGGTTTAAAACCACTGTGGCTTTAATTTTACTATTCATCGATTTTCGAAGGTCTTTCTTTCTGACGTTCAGCAAGTGTCGCATCCATCAATCTTTTGCTCGTTAGAAATGAATTATTTCGTAACTTGACATTTAGTTATGAATCTTAAGCACATCTCGTTCTTCTTAAATAAAAAATAAAAAAAAATCTGTAGTTCTTCGTTCTCTTTAAGTAAAAACTCCAAATACACTAATAATGATTGGTTAGATGTATCAGCAAGGTTTTCAAGTTACGATTTATGTTTAATTCAAACATATGTTGTTCATTAATTATAACTACATTTTAATAGCATTTACGATTATTTGTTGTATACTTAGTTACTCAACAAATTATAATATTCCAAAAACAATTCGATTTTATTTTGCCAATAATAACTAATAGTATATCAGTTGAATTATATCCTTATAATTTTAGTAAAGTTTTTACATTACAACGTGATGGTAAATTTAGATTTGGGAACTCAAGATTCATCGCAAAAATTAATTTGATAACCGTATGGTTTCCGATATTTAACTCGCTGATTGGTTAGAATGAGTGACTCTGTGTGTGACGCAATATTCATTCATCTCATTTTGAAATATGCCAGTGTGTGGAAGTTTATAAGACATGCAATTGCGGTGTAAAAGATATTTTCTGTTGAAAGGTAAGCCAAAAGAATTCAGCCTAACATGATGTCTTGGATTGTTCAAGACCGTTATAAATTAAATTGAATCCCTCGAAATAAAATTTCAAATAAATTATTACCGTTTAATGAGACCATCCTAAAAATAACTATATTTAAAAAAGCAATTTTAAGGTATAGCAGTTGTCATTAGATTTGCATTTTTCCATTAAAAATACACTAGATATATTTTTGAATTAAATAAAAAAATATCCAAACAAATATTTAAAAAAAAAAAAAAAATAGACGGAGTGTCGATTTTTTAACTGGAGACAAATCGCCATGACTTTCGAACAGTTAAGGTTCAATGTGTGTTAATAACTCAAAGCTGAAGTTTCTAATATTATTTACTAATCATTACCAAAAAATATATTAAAAAAATATACAAGATAAACACGTAGACATGGTTCTGAAATTTGAGCAATTCAATGTGCAAAGAACTAAATCAGAGAGAGAGAATGTTATATTAACGTCACACGGTAAAGCAAAACTAGGACTATTTGTGACGGACATCGTAATTTTGCACCATGGTCCAGTGACGAGGACGACACTTAAGCTTAAACCTCTACTCTCTCTCTATTCCACATCATACTACAACCTCCTCTACGCGGAGTGTCTTCAGGGGCGAATTCAAAACCTCGGCACGCATACCGCTAGTTCGAGACCAGGACCACTAGGCTATCTCTGCCACACAACGAAATGAATTGGGTTTATAAGGTATGTAAAATGCAATCCTTTGCTACATCATCGAGGAATAAAGGACACCAATGTCACATAAGCAAAAATATAATGATATCCCTTTGGAGATTTCGGTTTGGAAATTCTTTATATTTATTGAATTTTTATTTTTCTTAGTTCATTTTGCTAAATAAAATAAATAAATAAATAAATAAAATAAAACATTATTATAAATATACCATAAAACACTTTAAGGTATGTGATAAATTGACAATTAAAACCGTTTATTGAAGACAGAATTTGGCTGCCGCGGGAGCCTAGTGGTCACGGTATTAGATCGTGGATGGTTTGTCACAAGCTCGAGCCCAGTACCCCTCAAGACCCACCGCGATGCACGTTAAATATGTCGAGAGATCCAGCGTCCTCCCTTTGATGTGGTAGTTAGGAGAGAGGGTGCCAGCTCAGGCGTTGCCCTCGTCACTTGCCCATGGTTCAAAATTTCGAGGTCCGTCGCCAAAAGCCTTCGTGTAGTTGAACAGTGTGACGTTAATATTCACTCACTCATTGACGAGGTAGAATTTTGAAACACGTTAAAAAATTCTGATGTACTAAAAATTATAGGAACAGCTAACGGTGTTTTTATATTAATTACGTCATAATGTAAATCAAACAGAGGGCTATTAGAGACAGAC